CTTTCTTTAGGAAGCCAAGATCTTATTGTTTTGAACAAATTTGAGAAGTGGGCACCACACATCTTTTTATCAGGAAAGGCATCAGTCTGTCTCGTATGTGTTTTTTTTATTATTTTTTATAAAGTATTAGTATAATATCACAATATCTGGGTGTCCAAAAAAATATTTTAAAAGTCTTCAGCTGATTCAAAATACTGCTGCAAAAGTTTAACGAGAGTTGGTAGGAGAGACCGTATCTCTCCAGTTTTAGCTTCTCTCCATCGGCTCCCTGTCAAATTCAGAATAAAATTCAAAATATTACTACCAACATACAAATCTCTCAACAACCTAGCTCCATCTTATATTACAGGTATTATTGTTTCGTACTTTCCTAACAGAACTTTGCTCTCAAATTGCAGGTTTACTTGTGGTTCCCGGAGTCTCAAAAAGCAGAATGGGAGGTACAACTTTCAGTTATCAGGCTTCCCTCTTGTGGAACCAACTTCCAGTTTCTGTCTGTGAGGCTGACACATTGTCTACTTTTAATATTAGGTTTAAGAATTTCCTTTTTGATAAATCTTATAGTTCGAGTCAGCTTGGGTTGCCTGAGCTATCCCTCAGTTATTCTGCCATAGGCTTAGACTGCTGGAGGACAAACTGACCACATTTCCTCACTTTGCTGCTGCCTTTACTTCATATACTCTACTTGTTTTGTATTGCCAACTGTTTTGTATTTTTAATTATTTCTAGCTTAACATATGTTTTTTGTCTTTCCTCCAACAGAAAGTACACCTGGACCTGTCATTCTGTGTTGGTTTGTTTCTCCTTCCTGTCCTCTCCAACCCAGCTGGTCAAAGCAAATGGCTGCTCATCCTGAGCCTGGTTCTGCTGGAGGTTTCTTCCTGTTAAAAGGGCGTTTTTCCTTTCCACTGTCGCCTTTGTGCTTGCTCAGGATGGGAGACTGCAACAAAGTGAAGCCTCAACATAATCTGCCGCCTTCCTTGGTGTATGTATGTGAATGTTTCTGTTCAGTACCCTGAGATGGCTTCTGATGTGACTGGGTGCTACATAAATAAACTAAATTGAATTGTTTCTGTGAATTTGATCAGTGTTCTGTGCCACTGTTTTTCCTGCCTGAGTACAGTAATAGTGAATAAATGCACACCAGAGGTTTTTTTTTTTTTTTTGCGTTACAAGTTAAGTGTGTCATAGGAAAGGAAATTGTGTGCAAAACTGCCAACCCCACAGTGAAAGTCACTTCCTCCATCTGACTTTAAAAAAGGTTTTGTGATTTGGTTTGTCTATGAAGATTGAAGTAATATCAATTTAATATACTTCTGAATACTTCATGTTCAATGACCCACACAGGTGATTGGACACAAAGGGATCCTTAATGAATAAACAGCCTTTAGGAGTTCTGAAGAAGTAATAGTCTTCTTTTAGGGAGGGGTGCTGAACCACTGACAAACTGAAATGCATTAAAAATTAAAGATTGTTGTTCTGAGTTGTGGGCAGCACGGTGGCGCAACTGGTAGAGCTGCTGCCTCTCAGCGAACAGGTCCCTGGTTCAAACCCCAGTCCAGGGGCCTTCTGGGTGGAGTTTGCATGTTCTCTCCGTGCATGCGTGGGTTTTCTTCGGGTACTCCGGTTTCCTCCCACAGACCAAAAACATGCATGTTAGGATGATTGGTAACTCTAAATTGTCCCTAGGTGTGAATGAGAGAGTGAATGGTTGTTTGTCTCGTTTGTCTCTATGTGTCCCTGTGATGGACTTGCGACCCGTCCAGGGTGCACCCTGCCCCTCGCACAGTGATTGCTGGACATGGGCACCAGCGACCCCCGTGACCCAAAATGGAATAAACGGGTAAAGATAATGGATGGATGTTCTGAGTTGTAGCATGCAATCATTGTCCTTTTGTGTTACAAGAAATAGGAGCATGAAATCAAGCAAAATTATCTAAAAAAATGAATGAAAATGAGAAAGCACAAGTCCTGAAAAATGTATGACGACAAAGAGAATTGGTGCATACAGTATGTTCATGCACTGCAGAGACAACAGAAACATTTAAATTTAGGATTACAGTTCAGTTTAACTAAAATAAAGATGGCATGTTTAATTATGAAGCATCTTTTAAAGCATTTGGCAATTACATGCCAGCAGTTCTAAATAAAATAAAATTTGAAAATAAATAATTTTCTGCCTTTGTAGGGAGGTTAACAGCTTAGAAAAATATGAGCTTCATGTTTGAATTGGCTTCATCTGGACATGTTATGTATCATTTGATGTGCATTTAGTAGCTCAATTAAATCATCATTATCTTGGAATGGAAGTAGTATACATTTGGGCAGTAAATTGTGCATGCATAAATCCACATCCTGTAGAAGTTACATACATTACCTCACAACATATTTTATACTATGCCGGGTGTGTTTGTTGAGTGCAGTTTATTTTGATTTTCAAATCTAAAAACTTTATTTCTTCATGATCTTTATATTTTGTTCTTCTTTTATTGCTTTAATTCATCTGAATCTTTGTTGCCGTAATTGTCTTTGAACCAAATCAAATAATCCAGACCAACCACAGTACGGGTGTAAAAAAAGGTCCACAGATCATCCTTCAGTCCTCTCTTACTAAAGTCCTCTCTTACTAACTGGTATTCTATTTTAGTTGTGCTGCTGTGATTTCTTGGAAGCTGGATGTCTCTTTAATGAAGCTAACAAAGAGTGGTGTCATTAAATTGTCACAATACTAAGTATGAAGATATAAAAAAAGGATATAAAAAATAAAGAAATAACTATAAAATATCCATGTCTAGGTTTGTGTACCTTTTATGTATTGCTTCATGGGTTTTCTAGGATTTTTTTGCAGAAAATAATTTGCAGAATTATAATCGTTGCATATTTGATGCCATTAATTTTACTTGGGTTATCAAAAACAATTGTAAAGAATATCATGAAACTATCGATGTCTGCATGATGATTGTGTTCACAGAGATTTTAAAAATACCATACAGAATCAAAGTCGTTAAAAAAAAAGTGCATATTTTCCAATTTTAACAAGAGTAGGAAACAGTCTGATAAACTGCCTTTTCTTGGTCACAGTTTCTAGAAAACAATTTTCATTATCTTCATTTTACACCAAACAAGACAGTATTTATGGCCATTTTCCATTATAAACGGTACAGCACGGTTCAACTTGACTCGGTTCCAAGGCTTTTCCACTAGCAATAGTTTGTGGAACCGGTCCTTTTTTCAGTACCCATTTCTCTGGGGTTCCAACCATGCCACACTGGCACTAAAATGTGACATCAGAACACTGTCGGTCACTGATTGGTCAGGATGTGAACTCACTGGTTGTTTGAGAAACTTTCACAACAACCCAATCTGCTATTTGCAATAACTCGAACTCGAGGAGCGACTGGACCTATTTTTAAGATTTTAAAAGCAATAATGACAACACCGTGGTCTAATGCTGGAGTGCAGGCTTTTTTTTGTGCTTGATGGCCGACGATAAAATTCAGAGCGAGCTAGATGGAGCTCCGTCAGCCCCCCGGTCCTCTCCACTGGAGCCGTGGAGCCTCCTCAGGCAGGGCTCCGTCGGTAACCACAAAGGATCCTCTGTGCTGTCGGTGCGCAGGAGCATGCAAGGCTGGGGCTCGGGCGGGCCCTGGCCTTGCGCACTCCTGTGGGCACCAAGCTCCATTGGTCACCGTGGAGGATTATACGAGCTGCCAACCCACAGGAGCACGTGAGGCCGGGGTCCAAGCCCCGGCCTCACGTGCTCCTGCGGGCTCTGATCTGAATCCGCCCACTAGAACCATTACTGAAAGTATAATGGAAACACAACTCATACTGTGCCGAGCCAAGTCTAACCATGCTGTACTGGTATTAATGGTACTAATGGAACAGGGGCATTAGTCACAATTTCAGACACTGGTTCTATATTAGAGTGTTAGCCCCAACAGACAGTGAAAAACACCATACGTGTTTCAGCATCATCGTTTCTTTTCACGTTCTTGGTAACAAATGTTCAGTAGGATGCTGCTGATATTTTGTTTGTGTCTTCCTAGTACACTGGGGAGACTTGGTTACTTGGTGCCAAAGGTGCTTTGAAACAAGCAGCAACTCAGTGCCAATGCTACAGTCACACCGTGCATGTTGCTAAGCTGTGGAAAACAAAGGAGGGGATTTGATGAATTTATGTGGATGTCTTTTCCTCTGTTTTCTCTGTGTTTCTCTCCTGCTAACCCTCCTCTCACATCTGTTGATATTTGCAGAGTGACTTATTTTAGAGGTTTTACAACACACGGCGTATCAGCAGCGCACACTCCGCTAAATATCCTCACTCACATCTGATTTCTGAAAACAAGATAAGGTCAATTGGCAGAGCTAAAAAGCAGACTCTCTCTAACCTTATCTTGCTCTCTCTCCCATGGAAAATGTCTTTATTAGATCGACAACCCCATAGGTGCAAAACCCAGCGGACACCTTAAACAGGATATCCAGTTATTTTAACATGGGATAAATCACCTGTTTTTGATAGCATCACTTTGGCTGAAACAAATACGTACAAAGCCCTTTTCTTCTCCAAATCTCACTACCAGCATTTCTGTCTTCTGGTTGCAAATCAAAGGGCTTTTTACAAACCACTCCAGAACAATTTTCCATACACATGAACATCAAAGCACATTTTTATCTGAACATTGAATTCATGTCATTAACTTCATATGGTAACGTTGAATAAAACAGAGAATTTCAAGAACACGGCATCTGACATTTGTCAAAGAATCAGACAGGTGAAGTACACTAAAATGGGCTAAAAGGAAAAAAAAAAAACTATAAAAAGAATAAGCAGGTGATTTCCATGGGAGTGAACACACATTCATTCATTCAACCTTCATTAATGCAGGTTTATCCCATTGAGCCTCGGGGACTCATTTACAAGAGAGACCTGATTTTTATTTATTTATTTATTTATTTAACAAAGAGTGATGACTTCGGGAGTGAACACGCATGCTGACCTGGTACGAGTCAATGGCCTCTCGGTCCAGTGAGCGGCTGACTGACACGTCTCCTGTGTCGATGTCAATGGTGAAGAGGCCTTTAGGATACCGGTCAGCGCCAGGGCCAGTCAGTCGGAAGATATGGTTCCCCGGCTTTTCTGGTGAAATTACCTGTGCACACGTACACACACACCAACTCATTAGCTGCTAAAATGCCTGTAATCTTTTCTCTTTTTATTTAGCACATTTAGCAAACAAATGCCATTTTTCTTTCCAATTCAAACAGTATAGCTATCAATATATGTATACAAACATTTGACTAAAAACAGTGCAATGTGCCTTTAATTATGTTGCCAATGTGATCATTACCAAATAAAATGTATGCCAGACAAGTCCTTGATTTAAAAAAAATAAAATAAAAAAAATTATCAAGTCAATTCAAGGATTTTATTGTCATTCACATCACATGTGGTGCATGTGGTGGAACGAAAATGTGTACACAGGATCCCAGTTACATCCAACAAAATTATAAATTGTAAAGAAAAACAGTACATTAGTCCCTCGCTACTTCGCGGTTCGTTTATCACGGATTCGCTCTATTGCGGTTTTTCAAAATAAGACTGGACATGACACACAATTGGTTGACTGATGGATGAGCCGCACTATCGGTATGGAACTTTTCTTTGAAATTATTTTAAATTATTTAGCACCTCCTGCAGCTTTGTGCACCCCTTACTGCTGCAGGATAAACTTCATGCTGCAGTTAAACAGCTGATCAGATGTTCAGTGTGCAGAGTGGAGAAGTGGGCGTGGCCAAGAGCGCTTGCAAGTGGCAAAGAGCAGAGGAGGCAGGGAGCTGAGATCATGACATTATGTGCTCTTTTAGAGCGTTTAGAAATATTGTTTAGAATATTGCAAGAGTGTGGGAATAGTTTAAAACACCTTTATATATCTATATAAATAATAAAATAAACTACTACTTGTACTACTATTCCTACTTTGAGATTTTTCACTTATCGCAGGTCTTCAGGGTAGGGATTCCCTGCGATAAACAAGGGACTACTGTAATAAGATCTAAGATATTAACTAAGAAATACACTAAAATGAAGAATACACTAAGCACAAATAGTACAAAAGCAATATGCCAAACAACTGCAGCACAAATTTATTTCAAGGGATCTACAAAATCATCTATTAAGATATTACCTATAATTTTAAGCTATCCACTATATATAGGAGGGATATTTTTAGACATTCTGCCAAAATAGCTGAATTTATATTCTCAATGTCAGGACCAATCACATATAAGGACGTTTTGGACAGACATACTCACATGAGACTACGGTCGCCAGAAGCATCCAAAGGTACCCAGTGACGGGATCAGGCACGTTTGAAAGGGAAACACAAAACAAATCGTGTTAGACTCAAACATCTGAACAAAAAGTTGTTTTAATTTGAAATGATGCTTGGGAAAATTTTAAAAAGTTGAATCACCAAAACTCTGTATAATGATAGAAATAACAAAAGTCTGTGACAAGGCAATTAAGAAAATACATTGGAATAAGAGTGTGATTTTTTTTTTTACCCATTTCCCTTCTTTTCAGTTTATTTTCTTTTTTATATTCAAACTCAGATGACAGTGCATCAGTAAGTTTCTGCATGCTCAAGATCATTTGCTCATCAAGTTTTTGTCACTTCATAAATAAATAAAAAATTAAAAAAGTTACAATGTTTTCTGCACCCACACAAACACACAAGAGGGTAGCCACCAGTGACCTCAGCACTGTCACTTTGAGTCAAGGATTTAAACTGTCCCACTGTGGAGTGTCTGAGGATCACAGGAGAGGCATGAGGTTAGTTTTAATGAGTGCACTTCAATGGCATAGCAGCTAAAGTGAAGGCCTTTCAGCTTCCCACTTGAAAGAGCATGGAACATGAGACTCCAGAGCAGCAAACCCATGTCAGACAAAGCTCAAACACTCAGAGCCTCTCCAGACTTCTCAGGCATTTATCTCAACGTCCTGCTTCATCTTTGCAACCTCTTGCTTTTAGGCTCCTTGCTTCCCCACTGGTTAGTTTCTCTAAAATGTCCATCCCTGCTCTTCTGTAAAATTTCCACAGCTCTTTCCCAATTCATCATTCTGCCTCCTCTCTGTACCACATCCTCTTTTGCTCTTTTACTGTGCGTGTGTACCAAACGATGAGAGAGAAGAGAAAAATAAAGAAATTGTCAAGAGCGTTTAAGAACAACACAAGTGAGCTTTTTTGAAGGATAAAACACACATTTTGAAACCATTTTCCTCCTCATCTCTCCTGCTCAAGCTAACTGTTGTGCCCTCCTTAGACTTTCCTCCATTATTTTGTCCTGCCAGATGAACTAAAAAGGATGTATTTATGATTAAAAAAGACTATATTTCCCACATCATTCTACACTCTTGTGAGGCTAAACCAAAACATTCTCATGGCAGTAATTTCTATTCACAACTTGAATTGAAGTCATTAGCATCACATTTATAAACATGCCTTCAGTATGCTGAAGACTAGTCTAAAGTCACATCATGCGTCTCGCAAATGTTCAACAACATTAATGTCTATTTAATGGCAGGTTTAGTCACAAAAAGCAATAATTATACATACATACATACATCAAGAAAACATTTTAGCCAAGAAACCCATTCCAACTTAAAAATATAATGAATTGGTAAAATTAGACTGCAAAATGTATCATGTACTTGATAGAAATTTTCACTTTGTCGAGCTTCTCCTTTATATTAGCATTCAAATTACAACCATTTTTTTAAACAGAAACTGTCAACAAGTGCTGTAAACTGAAAACTGATCTGGCTGATAATAAACACACAATGTGAAACTTTCAAAAGACACTTGATTATTCAACAGCATCATCTCATTTGGAAAAAGAAATATACCTGAAACCAAAACTAACCATTACCTCCTCAATAACTTAAAGGATAATATTAACTAATCTCATCCATGTCATTGTTAATGATTTGTAAGACAAAATGTCATGGTCTGCTGAGAGGAGGGGATGTGGAAAGAATACTCACTCTGGATTGCAAAAAAACAAAAACAAAAACCAGACAACTGCCTGGTTATCATAACATAGAATATAAAGAACATACTTTGTAGAAAGAGCTAGACTGTTGCACACAAGAAAAGACACATGGTAAGGATAACATCATGCTACATATATAGAATATGTAATTTACTAGTGCATATACTTTATTTATCCAGGCAAATATCTCAGTCAGATTAATATTTCTTTATAAATAAAGATCTAGATGAGATTGCAGTAACACGTGCAATAAATATATACATAATAAATAAAAAAAAAAACAAGTGTTTGGCATATATTTAAAGTAAACAACCTAAATATGTTCCAAACTTCAAGAAGACAACATTAAAGCAATTTAATGACTAAGAAAACTATTCTCTGTCTCCTGGATTTAAGTAATCAGTAACCATCCATCCATTCATTCATTATCTTTTAACCCGCTTCTTCCATTTTGGGTCACGGGGGTCGCCCATGTCTAGCAATCACTATGTGAGGGGCGGGGTACACCCTGGACAGGTCGCAAGTCCATCACAGACAAATGTCAATTTGACAATGACAATTCAAAGTCCTTTTACTTTTTTTTTTTTTTTTTTTTTCAGGGAACAAAAGCATCATATTTCAAAGTTTTGAGACATTTTCTTTTTTTTATTTTGAATCTGGGGACAGACAGATAAAACATTATGAGAGTGTAAATTGTAATGATTGTGTTATTTACACATATGTACACACAGATGTGTATAAATAACAACCAATGGAAAAGACATCTGTCAAACAAACAAAAAAAAGTGCTGTGTGTTGTTATCATTGTATGTTCCCATACAATGGTGAAATTAGTTCTCTGCATTTAACCCATCAAACCTGTAATACACCCAGGCGGAGCAGTGGGCAGCTATGTAGGTGCCCGGGGAGCAATTGGGGATTGAGTGTCCTGCTCAGAGACACCACGACATGTGGGAGTGGCTGGGGATCGAACATGGGACTTGCGGGTCCTGAGTCGGCTGCCCTGCCTCTACCTCATCTCGGCCCCCAACAAGTATAGCCATTCAGTAGCAACATACCAGAACAGTGATGTGTGTGATTTCCATGGCTAGTAATAAAATGCAAAGCCCAAATGTAAATAGTATCCAATGTATTGTATGTATGCAGTGACCACATACATTCATAAAGAGTGTTATATGTTGTCATCATTGTATGTCCCCATAAAATGACAAAATGTGCTATCTGCATTTAACCATCACACCTGAGATTCACACAGGTGGAGCAGTGGGCAGCTATGTAAGCACCTGGGGGGGGGGGGGGGGAGAAATTAGGGATTCGGTGTCTTGCTCAAGGACACCACGAAATGTGGGAATGGCTGGGAGTCGAGCCGCGACTTTCTTGTCCAAGGTCGGCTGCCCTACCTCTACCCCATCTCGGCCCCATAATTCATTGTATTTTAAGAAAATAATATTGTGGAACTGAAATGTCTCCTCACTTTATGTGAGTTTATTACTAAGTATGTTACTACAGTAATTTTGGTTCAAATAATTAATTTCCTAAAATTTAGAAACGATGCTGTTTTTGGATTGGTACAGTGGACGCCAAAACATCTGAGGGAAACAAACGTATGACTGGCTCAGCATCAAACATGATTTTTCTGGCTACACCCTTCCTCAGGGCTCACCACAGCAAACTAACTTGCACAAAGACTTGGTCATTGTTTTTATACCAAATTATCTTCCTAACACAACCACAGACCACCGAGCTACCACAGCCTTCTGTATGGAGCAGAGAGCTGCCATCTAGGGCACCCAGGGGAGCAGATCGTGGGGGCTAAGGGTTTTGTTAAAGGACTCAGGGTGGGGCAAATGAGGCTGTGGGTGCTTCACCTTTCCCATCCACATTTTGATGTTGTCGGTCTGGGGGATCAAACTGGTGACCTTTTGGTCACAGGCTTGCATTTTCTAACCTCTGCACCACCACTCCCCTTCAAACATAAATAAATATACAATATAGAGAGTGCAAAAATCAAACATCCACAAATGGACCTACAGAAGGTTAGATGACAGAGTAGGTAAAAGCAGAGGAAGTAGGGACTGTAAAAGATCGCTGATAAAGACACTGTAAGTTGAGGAATAACTGGAGTGTCAGAAGAAGTTTCGACTGAGCAGGAGATGTCTCTCTGGGGTGGAGGTGTTGATAATCTGCCGTGCACATACACACGTTCACACAGATGCACGTGCATGTTGGCAAAGTACTCTGCACCCAGTGGCTTTGTCTCCACAGAGCCTGTCTCCCTCTGAGTGTGTGGGTGGACTGATGGGAGAGTCTCACCTCTTTCCATCAGCTCTCATTACCAGCCAAGCACACATGAAAGACTGTAAGGCTCACAATGCTGCAGGAAGATGACAGGTGTGGTGTGGTTCGTATTCGGCAAACACCTCAGAGCACAGAATGAGCAGCAAAACAATGCAGGAGTGTAGATAAATGCTTATGTGCGCTGGCTTTGTGTATTAAAAACCTTTAAAAACCCTAATGCTTCAATAAAGTGTCAAAAAAAAAAGACAAATCTTTAAAAAGGCTTACCATAGTTACAAGATCTAACATTGTTGTTTAACCTAAGCAATGTGAACAAGTGACTTGTTTCATTTCAAAAATAGAAAAAAATATATCACAGAATGCATAAAATTCACCCATATAAAATATCACCAATATGACCCATCATAATGCAAATTAAGTATATAAATACACATCATGACCTTGTTCTTTTTGAGGAGAAATGAGGGATGGTTTAACTTCAGCATGTGGTGTGTGCGCATGTGTGTAAGACAGTATCCAGTATCATCTCTCAGTAGTGTTTCCCTCTTCCCAATCAAGGTCATACAGCCAGCTGTGAATGACAGTCGCTGGCTACAAAATGACTCCTGGGACCAAGTTAGTGTGTGTGAGTGTGTATATGTGTGTTCACAGGCATGCGATGCTCGGACCAGTGCTCTGCCTGATTGTCCTGCCACTCCACCTTGCTAATGAGAGTGACGAGATGGAGTGAAAAGGCCCAGTGAAGACACAGAAGGGAAGTCCTCGACGTAGGACAATGGGAAAACAATAGGGCTAATTAACTGCCTTTGATTGGCTAGCTCGGCCTCTGCTAATCACCACCCATCAGCCACTGTGTTCTGAGCCAATCACAAGTAGCTTGAGAGTAGAAAAAAAACGTTTGTTTGGGGAAAAGGGAAAATAAAAAGAACAAAAATGTGAGTGTGTCCGTGTGGTGTTAATTAGGTCAATGGAGGTTGTTGTAGTGGGAAATTCTCCTTCTAATGGAAAATTCCCAACACTGCACGGTGTTCATGTGTTATACGTGGTATTTTGCACTACAGCTTTTTATTACAAACCCCCAAAAAGTGGCTTACCTGGAAAATCATTAATGGTTAAGGTACCTTTATAGCTCAATGTGTTTCCTAAACATAAAAAGTAGAATCAGCACAAAGTAAATACCTGTTTTAAATTCCTGAATGTATTATATTCAAACTCAAGTCTGTTTGTTTTAAATAGCATTCATTCACAACAAAAGTCGTCTCGGGGCAATGAATAAAAACATTAACATGCAATATAAAAAATGCCAATCATAATTAATAACAGCAGTGAATATCTGCATCAAACAAGAGTGATTAACGTGCTTGGAGACAGATAAAGAAAAAAAAATAGCACTAAAACTTTTATTTCAAAGATAATTAACAGAATCAATTAGACTAAATGACAAGGCCCGCAGGCTGTCCGCTTTTCTTTGCTTGTAAGATCTCCGAACTCGGCTTGCTCACTTCCAGCTTGGAAGCTCAGATAAAACTGATATTAGATGTCTAAAAGGAGGAGAAGCCATAAAAGACA